GCGCCTTCGCAGGGTGCGGGGCAAACACGACCGGTGAACTCGGGGAAATTGTTCGTTCTCATCATGGCGTAGTGGGCCGCTTCCCATTCGTCCTATAAACCAAGAGCATCGACTGGTGTAGTAAACAGGAAATAAGTGCGACCAATTTCGGGAAGGAACGGTTGATGCCCGAAAATGGAACATTTGCAAAAGAAGGTGTGGATGAATTCTACTCAATGCTAACGAATATTTTCCGCCATCCTGGACTCAAATCATACCTTGTGTCTTGATATTCGCTTGATCGCGACCACTGCAAACCCACGGGATCTTGCTGCGCTAGGAAGTGAAGCAATTGACACTTACTTTTGAGAAAACAAGTATTCCACACCCACAGAGACTGGCAAATGGGGAAGCACTGATGAACGTCTTTTACTAGGTCAGACAGTTCACTGATGCATGCGAGAAGGAAAAGGTAGGAAGGACCGATGATGATGATGATGATGATGATGATGATGATGATGATGTTGATGATGGTGATGATGATGATGATGATGATGATGATGATGATGATGATGATGATGATGATGATGATGAAAATGATGATGATGATGATGATGATGATGATGATGATGATGATGATGATGATGGCTGATGATGATGATGATGATGATGATGATGATGATGATGATGATGATGATGGTACTCGGCTACCGAGTGGTTTCCGGTCTACTTCATAAACGACTATAGTCACTGCTAAGCCGGACCAAAATGGGACTATACTGGCTATCGACATGTACTAGGCCGGCTGTGTTAAGCTCTTGTGAGACCGTAATTCTTTCCGTACAGAGATGTCCACCTCGTCTAACGAAGGTATTACACTACGGCAGTCATTGCACCCAGTCTCAATACGGCTTCTATGGCACCTCTCACTTCTTTGCAATCAGGGACTGTCTGAGCGAAGTCTGAATCGTGAGGAACTGAGGAGCTGAGGGGCTGTGTGCAGTACACGTACGTGGACCGTTTGGTCATCACTGCGTCCACTATGATCTCAGAGCACGCTGATTTCGAATCGTCATCGACAGACGACGGGTTTGAGAAGACTGAAACGAGTTATCTGCCGTTGGGAAGACTTGCGATGCAGTCTCTTTTTCCACGACCTCCGATCGCGTAAAAAAAACTTAGGAAGACCAGTGGGCACGGAATGGCGGCTTGAAAAAACTCCATAGCCCGCATACGCGTGCCCTACATGACCTGGCTCCATTACAGATGTATAGTATACGAGAATCGGCAAGGTTTTGAATTAAAAGTATCTGTACGAATGAGGAACTTTCGTCGAAATTTAACATATGCTCGTCTCGTGAACCACATATCCACGGCATACCTCTTATTTGACCAGCGCAAATTCGACGGAGGAAAAGTTCGTTTGGTTCAGTCTCGCGACACCTGCCTTCCCGACGTAGGTTTCAATAACTGAACTTGAATACTAGACGTTTCAGGTTAGTCTAGACATTCACAATTTTACTAAAACCCTTTTATTCTGTATTTAATCAAGACATCAGCAGAAATCAGCAAGAATTCGAGCTCCAGAGGCATTTTGTTTCGCTCGGACGGCCGTATAGTCATGTTAGGACTTATTTAAGTAGAGTTCCAAGCAAAATACCGGGTGTATACGGTGTCCTTGACTAGCAGCCGTGGCCAGCGCATAGCCAAAAAACCTAGCGCAATAGCGAAAGGGGGACAAGACAATTAGGCAACAGTAGCTTATGTAGCCCCACTCCTTAATCCCTACAACCTGCATGTTTTCCTACGAAAACGGTGGTTATCGGGTTTAATGGGCGAGGAATTAGGACACGCAGAGGAATATACCTTAACAAATGCTAAATGCATTTTTATTTTA